CATGTCACGCTCTTGTTTTCATTCAACAACCTTTCGAGGCCCAGAGCTTCGGAGACGGACGGGACAGCATCTGCGCGGACTCTTGCTCCACCGCCCCGCCTTGCAGAAAGGCGAGGGCCTGTTTGACTTCAGCCTTGGTTTGGATTCAAGGTCACTGTCGTCAGGTTTCGGGGTTCTGTTTTATTTTTGTAGCAAAACCCACAGTGTATATTCAATTAAGAGCAAGACTTCCACAGCAGCTCTTCTCAGACAGACAGGGGTGTTTTTAGGCCCTTGCCACTAGAGGGCACCAGACCCTGCACCGGCGTCCTCAATGGCCCCTACGGCCACCTGCCCTCTCCACCCGCTGCGACCCCCTCATCCTCCCCGGCGCTGGGATTCTAGAAAAGCCCTTCGGCATACATAACAGGCTCCGGGCAGAACGCGGACCCTCTGCTGGAGCAAACTGGAGTTCCGGAAATGCACGGAGCCCCCCAGGAGCAAAGGCCCCATCTCGGCAGTTGCAGACCCTGCCCCAAACGGGGGTTCTGGCGCCGCAGACCAGCACGGCTCTGAGGACAGACACACCTGGGCCTGAGGCTCCGAGGGGAGGTGTGGAGGTCCCAGGGATCCATAAACAATGAACAAAGCTTGTCAGTTTTACCAGGCCATGCCCACACCACCACGTTACATGCTTTCCAGAAGTTTCTATACATTATAAACCTGCTCTCTCTGACCTTGTTTTATACGTTAGGAAAAACTGAAGTCCACAGGGATCCAAAGTGACTTGTAAGAAGCCCCCCCTGGTGTCCGGCCCAACACCATCAACCCCCTGGGCAGGAGTTGCTGTAGATCAGCTAAACACGTGCACACCAATAACACTCGTGTGTGTGTGTGTGTGTGTGTGTGTGTGTGTGTGTGTGTGTGTGTGGCACTCCCCTCCCCTTCCCGTGAGAACGGCGGACCCCAGGAAGTGACTTCTGTCTAGCACGCTCCTCTGGCGATGCCTCCAGGCAGACCACCAGGAACACAACTGTGGTTGAACAAACCGTGTTTAATGCTCATGCATGGAGACCACACACCGCGGGGAACCGGGGCATCTCAGCGCCAGAAGGAACTTACGGGAATGGGGCTTCGCTCAGGTAATTTGGGGGAGGCTTCGAGGAGCAAGGCTGCGGCTGGCGTGGGCGCTGTCAGGAAGGGGGCGAATTCTTTGATGGGGACCTCAGCAGACCTCACGGAGGCCAGGCGGGCGCAAAGCCGCGTGAGGGCTGGGAGAGCAGCGGCGGACGGCAGGAGGGGGATGTTTGGGATTTTGCGGTTTACACAGTGACCCGGTGAAATTGTGAAGTGGTCTTGCTCCTTGTCTCCCTTCGTCGAGGTCACAGCAGGACCCTGTCTGAGGCTGGTGTCCTGTAAAACGGCTTATGTCGAACAAGAAAACCCCACGGCCCAGCAACGAGCACCAGGCCAGCGCCTGACCGCATGCAAGGCTCGCTGTCTCAGGTGGGTCCTGGCTGCCAGGGGCTTCCTTACTCGCCCTCTCCTCTCTTCAGCTTTGCCTCTCGTGCCAGGGAGACGTGGGGAATAGACAAAACAGGACAGCACCGTGTCCCAGAACTCACTTAAGCAATCAGCTGTTACTCGCTTTCCGCTGTTTCAGCAATTGTGTCTTTGTCTCCCTTGAGCACCTGTGGGGCGGGCTCCTTCACCGAGCCCTGCTCATCAGCATCCCACCCAACGTGATGTCCAGCATCTGGCTTGGGCAAAAAAACCTCCAACACCATCCGCCCAGAAAGCAGCAGTCAAGATTTAGGCCTCCAGAACCACTGCTTTCTGCACTTGCTGTGATGATAGCACCAGCGGGTGACCGCCCCACACTGGAACCTGGACTTGTGTTGTAATTCCAGGTCCAGAACTTCTTCACACAGCTACTGGGCTGACTGTAAAATTCTCCTGCCAGACAGCAAGGTCAGGGCGACCACAGAAAGGGCAAAGAATCTGTAGGTTGCTGGGGGCCCGTGTGGGGTTCCCCTGGGCCCCATCAAACCCTGCAGGGCCAATGCAGACGGAGGCAGGCGTTGCTTCCAGATGCAAGGCTAGAAGCTAAGCAGCATTTACAGCCTCAACCTTATTCCCCTCCTCTGACCCCTCTGCGATTCACAGACACTCACTCATGCTTCCGCCTACTGTGCAAATTCCCATCTGAGGGCAGGTTCGACGGTGAGTTCATTCTTTATAAACCAGGGATTCCTCAGCCGACATATCGCTTAAAAGCCCAAGTCAGTCAACGAACATGCAGGAGGCGGCTTCCTCCCCACTCTGTAGCCTTCACCCTCCTGCTGCTGAGGCCTCGTAAGTCCAAGCTTAGCACATTCGATATTCCCTACGCTCTCAGCTTACTGTTTATACTCTGGGCTTTGGGGGAGCAAGAGACAGAAAAATATGCGGAAGCAATTTCTTTTCAAAGAGCTTTCAAACAAAGTTTCCAAACAATTTATGCCTCAGGGGAGATGGGGAAAGAGTCTTCTTCACACAGGATTTAAAAAAAAAAAAAAAATCTTTCTAACCCCCTTGGAGTGGAAAACAGACCACTCTCAGCCCGAAGAAGAGCTCTAGAGAAGGGAGGAAGGCTCGCTCTTAAATTTCCGTGTTTACTTGCAGTTGTCTCAGCACAGAATGTTCTCTCTGGCAAGGTCCATCAGGAAAGATTCTGAAATGCAAACGCAGCTGAGCTGGACCACAGGAGGAGGACCCGGTTCAATATATGGAGATGGTGGTGGCTTCAACCATCAAATTACTTTGCTTCCAGCCAAGTCAGATCCGTCTCTGTTTTCTTCTCGAGGCTCCCTACTACCACGAGGAGGTAAGAACAAAACAGAATTGCAACCCGCAGCACGAGTGCCCAGACTTCCTTCCCAGGGAGAGCTTCTGGACAATTCCACACTGCCTTACCTACAGCCTACATTACTCCCAGGAGAGAAAACCATCAAAGATGCCTCTGCATGACTTACAACTCGAATATGATACTCTTATGGTTGTTGATAAATACATACTTTATAATTATGTGAGAAGCAAGCACGGAAGTGGGAGTCCTTTTTACAAAGTCTAACGCCATTTCTGAGTCTGGTGTCTCATAACCAAAGTGAAGCTACTTTTCCTCTGTTTGTAAGCTCCTGATGTGTTTTGTTCAAATCACTGTAAAACACAAGGGGCCTAAAGAAGCAAACAAAGGTTGATAAGCTAAAAAAATCACTCGCCACACAGCCTAAAAACTCTCGTGCCCCGACTTACTTTGTTAAGTCTAGATGGGCTCTAAGTATTTGGTAATAATGTAAGCAGACTGTTTAGAAATGACAGATATTTGATGCATAAAATCCATTGTTGAAATTTTCAATATACGGGCTCTTTGAACATGAGAATTAAAAGGCAAAATGCACAAGTCCGCTGCTGCAACTTAACGGATTTACACTTTGTTTGTAAAATTGCATCGGCCTTAGAAGGAGCTAGAAGGCACTTAGCTAAGCAACACTGAAAGCAGCCAGGGCAGAGGTGGGGTTCCCAGGAAAAAAGGACGGGCCTGCTGTATCCAACACTACCACGTGCTGTATCCAGCAGTACCACGTGCACAGCGAGACCCAAGCTGAGCACCAAACCGCTGGATTGTAAAGAGCTCCCCAGACACGTGTTATTTCCACAACTTGAATTTTAAGTTTCTTTCCCACACAGGCTTTTCTTAGGAGGCAAGAAATGACAAGAGGAACCCTAACTGCTTCACCTCTCTTAGGCCCCAACTCCTATCACAAAGCCTCGCACACAGCAGGCGGCAAATGTTTAATTAAAAATCCCTCCGCCCGCCCGGGCATGTTTAGGAAAAGTCTAAGTGGGTTGTGTTTAGTGCTGCCCCCACGATGACAATTTTCCCTCAGGAAAACAAAATGACTTAGCAAATACTTTTATCTTCATGCAAACACAAAGCAATGGGAATGGAAGGCTGCATTTGCTGTTAAAGGTATTTTTAACTATCGATGAAAAGAGGGGGAGGGAGATTTGGAGAAATGAGGAACCCCTCTCATTCTCCAGAAATTGTGTCACCTTGGCAGTGACAGCCCGACCCTATGACCCTTATTTGCCAGATGGAGAAAATGAGGCCTCGAAAAGGGAAACACCTGCCCAAGAAGGTCTTTCTTTCCTTTGGTCTTCATGGCGAACAGAGGTGACTTTCCCAACAGCCTCTGTTCCAGCTCAGTCAGGTTCAAGTGCATTGCCCCAGAGAAGACGGACAGGAGCCAGGAGACCCGCCACTCACAGGCACATTTCCCACTCTTGGTCCGCAAGGCGTTACCCCCATCATCGGGCCCAGGCATGTATTCAGATGACAATCTCCTGTCCATCGACAGACGCCCTGGGGGACTGGTTGGGAAAAGAAGCCCTAACCTGGTAACTGTAGGCTTCCCGGAGACCACAGGGCATGGACCTGCATCTAGGGCAGGGAGCGGTGTGAACCCAGCTGGGGATTCTCATAGCTGGGGGCCTCCACCGCTCAGAAACATCCCAGAAGCTGGAGTCCAGCCGTCAGGACACCAGGGCTGGACCACACACCTACTCCTTCCTGGAAACCAGATGCTGATGGCATCCCAGGGCGGAAGCTGCTTCCTTACTGTAGGAATGGATCTTTCATTTCGTAACTGGTAAAGGGGCTTGGAGTATTATACGCAAAGTCAGTCAACGACACCTGACTTCTTTCTTTTCACTGATATTCTCAATTCGCTATTCATTCAGTTGATCTTTTTCACTCAAAAGACTGGTAAGTTATCTCCGGAACATTAATTTTATCAACCTGGATAGTAACGCTGTCTTTATACATTACAATGGCCAGCAAGTTCTTTACATTTCCACTGCTAAAAATTAAGTTTGTAATGATTACCTGGACAAGAGACCTGCCACGGACTCACACTTTATAAAAGGATTCTAAGTTCGAATGTGCAGCATTACCCAGATATAATTCTCTAGGAAGAGAATTCCTATTTTTTTTTAAATTTATTTATTTTTTGCAAACAATTTTAGAGGCAGGGTGTTAAACTGATTGAAATTTCACAAGATTGACATTATTGCTTAAAGTGCTTGAATTGGTTACATTAAAAAAAAAATTAAGGTACAGATTATTTTAAATAAAAACTACAATGTTTTTTAAGCAAGAAAATAAGAAGAATGCCACACAAATACAGTAACTGTTTTGGTTACACAGAAATGGAAGCCCAAAATAAATTAATGTAATACTGGAAAACAGAAATTTAATTAGGCAGAAAAGTAGGAAATGATTTTCCCTGACCCATGCCATTTACATGAGCTAATCACAACAGTGCTGATAAATGCCTTGACCATGTAATAGCAAACGAGGGCAAAACATTTAGTGCACGGTATTTTATACACATGAATATACAAAGTTGATCAAAATGCAATGTTTAAAGATAAAATCCATCTGTAATAAAGCTACACTCCAATATCTAAAATAAGCCCTAAGCTCCAGTTAGAACATAGTTCATTCTCAGGCATGCCCACGAAATTAAGGGTTTCCATGAAAATAAATGCATAGGGCCCACTTCTGTCATTTTTTTCTCCATTTCATCTTAAATGCAAAATAGACCAGGCCATAAAATCAAATCTCATTGGCTTCCTATTCAGGCCAATGCCCTGCTTGTGTTTGTTCCCTGCTCTCTTCAAACCAGCCCACTTCCTATTGCCTTAGAATGGAAAATGCATCAATATAACAGGACTGGATGTCAGCATTTTACCAACATTTGCTCTGATACAAATGACTTTTCAGCATACTGTACCATCATCTAGATGCTAAACTAGTAAGTAACCAATAAAGCAGATATTTCCTTTTTTTTTTTTTTTTTTTAACATGTAAAATGCTGTAACTTGTTTTAAAACACCCAGCAGTTAAAAGCAATACAGCAGGTCTACTTACTCCTGCCGGAAAATGACACACTAAACCCCTGGCTGCTGGAGGGAATACTGCGGAGATTTTGTGCTACTGCTGACCTCAGAGTGGTCTCAGGTCTCCCACACTATTCCCTGCTTTCCACCGTAAATGACCGATGCAAAATAAAGAAGCCTTTGCGTGCTACTGTCTTACATAAAGAGAAATGATTGTGGGGGGGATGTAGCTGCCTAGTGTTTGTTTCATGTGTTGAAGAAGAGGGAAAAAAATTACCAGATAGCTCTAAATTTGACAAAAACTGATGGAGTGTTCCTGGAGAAATGTGTTTTAGTCTTTCTCCAATCTTCTTTTCCTGTATCACACAATCGTTTTAATGTCTTTGCAATATTTTCCACACTTATCTTTTTTTATTCCAAAAATCTACCCATGAAGACTGAATTTTAGCTAACTATGAAAAGGAATTACTTAAGTCACTGGGAAAAACTTTACACACCCGAACGAAAGAGAAATGTGCTAAACTTACGACTCAGCATTTCGATATTACTTCGACAGGCTTCCAATTGAAACTTTTTAAAAATAAATTAGTTTCAACAGTCGTTTCAAAGGTAATTTTAATAGTTTTCTTATGAATCAGTTCCAAATATATTAGAGATCAACCATCATTTTCTTAAACTTTGTCACCTGCAGTCAAATATATGGGTTATATATAATACAAACATTTCCCTACATCAATTACCTTCCATTGGAAAGCGCCTCTCCTTAAAAATAAAGACTCACCTTCCAGGTACTGCATGTGTTTCATGGAAGAAAAAAAGACAAAATATTTATAAATATGAGTTTGCCTCTAAACAAGGCAAGGTACATTTTCATCACGTGTATAAAACAACAACATGAAGATCACCCTGTTTCGTCTTCTCCAGTGAAAAGTAAAACGTTTCACTTCAAGCATGAACAAATGAAATGTTGGCATGCTTATTTAAATTCTGAGCAATAAACGGTTGACGATATTTCAAGACATGAAATCCAGTTTTCATCTAGGTAAAGTGCTATCCTCTTCATTGTTGCAAAATGGCCACTTAACATTTTCAATTTCAGTTCACATTATGCCAAAAGTTTGCATGTTCATTAGCAGATGCTTTAGGTAACAAAATATCGTGTTCACAGTATAACATAGTGTATGGAAGTCAAGAGATTTCCCAAAGGAAGCCAAGATCTATGACTTGTAGTATTTGTAGGAAACCAAAAACCAGCCCAAGGGCAAAACAGGAAATCGACCCTTTTAATAAAAGGTACCAACACTCAAATGCTCTAATAAATACATATATAACACAAGTGAAAAGAAGTAAAAGTAACTATAGTGAGATGAGGTTCTTCCAAAACACTGTCTCGTCAAGCATTCTAGGAGTCTGAGCCAAAGAAACTGCCGCCATCTTGTCCACCCCTCCACCGCCCACCGCCACTTCCTGTGCCCACTGCCACACCCAGCTGCCGCCAGCACGCCCCTCCGGAGGGTCTGGATTTGCCCCAGGACTTCGCCAGTGCCTCGGCAAACAGACAGAGTCTGCTTAAAAATTAAGTTGCACGATGACAGTCGTCGTGGTGCAGTGACTTCGTTATTCCTGATGGAGACGCGTCGCGCTGCCTGGCCAGGGGCAGTCTTGCCAGCCCTGCAGCCACCGACTGCACGGCGTCGGCAGGATTGGAAAGACGCCTTGAGAAGCTCAGCAGTGCCACGCGCGGGGTAAATACAACTCACAGGACCTTACAGGAGAAAAGTGTCACTAAAAATCAACAGCACAGAGTTATTTTCCTGAAACTTGGTTTTGGTAGAAAGGTAAGAAAAGTAATTTTCACTGTCCACAAAAACCTCCTCCTCTTGGCTTTGCCTGCCCTGAGCTCCACACCTTCTCCGCCGCTGGAATTCCGCCGGCTGGGTTAGCATGGCACTAACCCAGCACGGTGCAGACGCCAGCCACCAAGAGCCACCGCGAACAGCGCCTCTTCACCCTGTTCCACGTGGAGAATGCTTTTAGTCTTGAGGTTACTCACTTTTACGCATTTCTGCCTGCACAAACGTAAAGCTATAGTCCCAGCCCTAAAAGGTCAACAGCCACCCAGTTCTCTGTGCTCGTGACAGCAAAGAGGCAGAGAAGCTGGAAATGGGCAGCAGTGCTTCCAGGGACGAGTCAAAGGAATGCATTGTAAGGAGACCCCCGAAAGCCATTTAGAAGTTTAGCGAACACCCCTAATAGCCTGTAGACATTCATAGCGAATGTCACTCTAATTCAACCAGACGTAACTAGTGGCACAGCCTTCGCCCAAAAGTTGCTGATCCTAAAATCAGCAACTGTTGTTCATATACATCTTCCTGCTATCCGACCGCAGTTAACTCGACCTCAGACGGAAAGAAAACCAAGAGTAGCGCTGCGTGTGAAAAAAAACAAAGGGAGAGAGTTTAACACAGCCAGACCATGGGACTTGGAGTGATACCAGCAGTGGGCTGCTGGGGAAGAGGAAAGTCTGCAGAGAAACCGGGTAACGGTGCTTTGAACATTTTCCCTGCTCGAACTAGTCCCGCGGTTCTTTAAGTTATTCTCTTGACTGATAGAATAAAATATATCCAGATTCTGAATTTTTTGATATATCTGATGTCAGACCATAGAATTCTTCAATAGCTTGAGCATCTATTTTCTGCAATAAAGGAGAAATAAAACAACACAATTATTTGACATGATTCCTGGGGAAGGGGAAGGAAAACTAATGGAACATACAGTAAAATGCAAGGAACACTGTTTATTATAAAGTCAAGATTAGGAACGTTTAACAGCAAATGGATAATTCCATAGACTCGACAGAGGCGCATCATTTCATGAACTGCAAATCGCTGAGGAGGGAGGCCACCCTTCCATCTATCAGCAGCTCTACGTGGGCGCTCTCTGAAGGAGCCGAGACTTCTGTCTTTTAAATGGTAAACTGGAGGGTCTTGGGAATAACCTTAATTTTTTCAAGCCACCAGAGTTCATTTCCTGTGGCGTTATTCCAGTAAAACGGCCTAGTGAGTTACAGTCGATCATGTCTTTGAGTGTAGAAGCCACTCCAGTTTGTATCCCTTTACAACAAAAGTCAGTATATGAATGCTTTGGTATAATAAAGATTTCTAGATCCAACAGACTGAAAAAAAGTATTTTAAACAATAATCAACATAAGAAAAAACTGTTACAGTAATTTTATTAGAACTCTGAAGTCTTATTATTTGCCCTGCACCAGATCAGGGCTTTCTTTAGTCACGGCAGGAAACAGGGCTGACACATAAACATGACTGACCGTGCCAGAGACACAGGGACCCCTTATCTACGGCCGACCAGTTAACAAGAACACGGTGCTCATGGACCCACGATCACACCTCCCCTCCCTCTCTACGGAGGTTGTTTTCAAGTCGGATTATGGGGAAACAGACCTGTTTTTTAAAACGTCCACACGTACACATCCCCCCAAATACCATCCACACCCCGTGCCAACGGAAGAATAATCTGCATACCAACCTCTACGATGTCATCATCAAACAGAAGCCAGAAGCCGTGACTTTTCACAATGGTGATATAGTGCCCGCGATTAGGACCACTGGAAAAGAACAAATGGAAGAAAGTTTCCAACTGAGCATTTACTTCTTTATAAAACTCCTCTAAGCTCTTTCTAAGCAGTGATTCACTAGAGAAAAAACTGTGCCATCGGCATAAATAACTTGGTGTGATTCGTGTCTGTGTCCACGGTTTCACGTGCTGGCCGTAAGGGAGTACAGGCGTGTGCAGAGAGACGTCTTCCACGGACTGAATCCAGTGGGGAAAACGGACACTCAAATTCTGCAAATATGAATGGATAATTACTGTCTACCTACTCGGTGCCAGGCCCTATCCTGGCTGCTAGGAGAAGCAGCAGTGAATAAAACGAAGCCCTCACTTGCTTGGGATTTGGGGTCGGGGGTGGGCAGGCAATAAACAAACTAAACACATAAAAACATGCGAAGTCGCGGTAAGTGTCAAAGAGAAGGCTGAGGGCGTGACGGACAGTGAGTGAGGGGAGGAGGGACCATCTGATAGATAGTGGTGAAGGGAGGCCTCTCTGATCGTGTGAGACTTGAGCAGAAGGAATTTCCCTGAAGAAAATGGGGGGAGGAGTGGGGACAGCCATGTGACTCTGGGATGGAAGTTTCAGGAATGGGGAATGGCAAGTGCAAAAGCCTGGGGCCGGGACAGCAAGGCGGCCGGAGCGGCAGGGCTGCGTGAGCCCCGGGAGGGTGCAGGGGGCAGACCACCCACCCGGGCGGCACGGCGAGACGTGAGACCTGGCCGTGAGCGCGCCGGGAAGGCGACGGGCGATTCTGAGGGGTGGTGTGACCCAGTTTTAGAAAGATGTTAACAAACCAAAATGCGTAACAGCAGCAGCTAAAACAAAAACAAGATTTAAGAATATATTTTAATCACTCAAAGTGCCACAAAATTATTAAGTGTGATCTATTGCTTCTAGTCTTTATTCATATATCTTAAAATATGTTTGAGATCATACTATATAAGCAATTTTTGTTTTTTAAAAATTAAAATGGTAGTGTAAGCATTTATTTCAAATTCCTCATAAGCATCATTTCTATCCAATGGGTATTTATTATCCCCTTCATGATCGAACATTCAGATTATCATTACCGGAGTCCTATTTATTTTCCGTACGTCTACAGGCATGTTTATATGCATTTTGAGATGATCAGTAGGAGGTGGAAGAGAGTCCCAAAAGTACGGAACAGGCCACGGCCCGGGTAGGGTGCAGCCGGGTCTCTCTCGGCAAAGGGACGACGCTCACACCCGCCCGGGCCCGCCGTTACCTGCCGCAGTGAACGACCACCGCGACGAGGTCGTACATGCGGTCCAGGTTCACGGCGTCGCTGGAGGTGTTGAAGAGCCGCAGTTCCAGCGGGAAGACCACCCGGTAAGACAGCTTGGTGTACCTGTGGAGCTGCTCCATGTACTTGAACCGCTTTAGGTGCAGGGCCAAAATCATGGGCAGCTTTTTCACTCTCATCCTGAGAAACCATGAAACAGAACGTCAGCCACCCCCGACGCCTGCCAGGGGGACAGAATAAACCCACTGTCCGCTGCGCAATGGAGAGCAGAGGCGGGGGGGGGACCTAACGAACTTCGAACCAGCAAACGACCGAACGGTGTCGCAGGGTGGAAGCGTGCCTGCTCACGTACAGCCGGTACGTCGCGGCCCTGGCTGCCTGGAGCACGGCCGGAGGTGGGCAAGGGCGAGGCCGTGTCTCTGGCCGCAGGAGACGTTCCAGAGTTTGTGTGCCAGTGAAACAGGCTGTGCAACTGTTCTCCGTCGCTGCCCTCTACCTCCCAGGGAAGAGCAATGTCTAGACAACCTGCCCTGTCACAATGGAGGAGGGTCGAGAGCTTTTGAGGGCAGGAAGCTGGGAAGAGGACGAGGCGGGAGGGTGCAAGCTGGACTTAGAGGCCCTGAGGCCCTGAGGATGCTTCCGACGCACCTTCCCAGGCACCGGGAAGCCAAGCGCGCCGGGCTCACTCTCACCCTGACTCTTGTGATCCTGGGAAGTCACTCCCCTTCTCTGGCTCTCAGCCCCCTCGTTTATAAAACGAAGGGGTGGGCTCAGGGCTACATCTCCCAAACTGGGCTCGTGAGAACACTGGAGATGTTTACAGACGTGGGGCATCTCTGGCCAACTAAGCTTGGACAATGCTGCTTTCTGTTTTGAAGACCCTCTATGTGCATTACCAGACTGAAGGTTTGAGAAATCCTGCAGGAAAGAAAACCGTTCTGTTTTTGATGCTGCTTTTCCCGAACTTACATCAACACCGAAAGCCTTTTTCCCAGATGGCCATTAACGTTCCTCAGGAAAAAGTTAAAGGTAATGGTTTTTGTAGAGAACGTGGCTGGGACGGAGGGTCTTCAAGTTACCTTCCAGCCCCCACTCTACGAATGTACTGAGTTAGTGTAAATGCTGTTAAGTTTGTGGACATTTTCAATACATATTATCTGAGACGAACAAATTTTAACAGAACGTTAAGGAGTCTATTAAGGTAAAACCCTATTCATGAAAATAAGCAAAATAAAAAATTGGTAGAATTATAGGGAGTCCCATATTTTACAGGAACACATGACATTGTAATGTATAAAACCTCCAGGGCTGAAACGAAAACATTTTAATGCCACACAGGAACACCCAGGACTGGCCACAGGCAGACTCAGGTTGTAAGGACGGGCAGACACCGAGTTCTCTTGCTGCCTGCCTACCACCTTCACTCCTGCCCGCTACGACGACTAACCTTCCGTAAGTTTGGATGCAACAAGAAAAGATGCCCATGTCTGGGCAGAGAAATTATTTCAACCTCAGGTCTAGACCCCTGAGGGTTCGAGACAGCAGTACTGAGCATGTGCGAGCCACCTTGAACGTTCCAGAACCCCTGGCAAGATATGTTCCTCTCACGGTGAGGATTCACGGCATTAAAACGTCAAAGTTTCTTGGCTTCTGGGGGCAGATGATAAGGAACGACTATATCTCAGATTGTCCAAGAGCCGTGACAGGTGGTGTTGGTAAAAAGATGGAGAAGCTTGGGTCCTGTACCACTTCTTATCACCTATCCCTATAACTGGGGTGTTACTGATTTCTTCATGACTCCTTATTATAGATTTTTTTTTAACCTTTGTCTCTAAATAAGACATTCCAATGTTTAATATAAACAACAATTACAAACAACAGCACTGGGTGTCTACTATGTATTATGTGCGGTGCTAAGTGCTCTATATAATGTATCTTCAATCCTAAGAGGACAGTGATTGCATTTGATCACCACTTGTTTATCCACGTCGTTTCTGGCGCACAGCAGCACTCAGCAAACATTTGCTGAATGAACAAACGAACAGCGGACACTTGGTCAAAGGGACAGCTCTCCAACGCCAGCGTCCTTCGCCGGTTTTACTGATGAGGCCGGTAACTAACTGGCCCGAAGCCCCGTGGCCACGAGCCCATGAGGCTCAGGTTCAAAGCCAACCCTGGCGGGCTCCACTGTCTGGAGCCTTCTCCCTGCACGAAGCCACCCCCCCGAACCGAATCTCTACGTACCGTTTTTGGGCCTCCTGTTTGCTGCAGCATGTTTCACAATAATATTTTTGTTCGCTACACAGTGTTTCTGTGTTGCTGAAGTCTCTGTAGAAAAAAAACGTTTTCATCTTTAAAAATTCCAGACGTACTTGGTTTACCATGTTTTAAACCCCTTTACTCTCTGCAGGGTAATTCTTAAGTCAAAGCAAAGAAAGGAATAATCAGAAAGGATCCTTAAGACCAGGGGCTATCGTGCCGTCAGAGCATGTCTGCTGGACACGTTCTTCTCATTGAATATGAATTCGCCACGAGAGATTTTCAAATATAGCTTTATTTAATGGGACACAAACAGATAAAAATTAGGGTTTCCCACCGATTTGGAAAAAAATCAGGACTTAACAGAGAAGACCTGTAAGTTGGAAATTTAAAATTATAATAGAAAGATACTATTGTAAAAGCCCACTACAACAATGTAAGTTGGGTCCAAAAAAGTCAGTCACATAACATGTAAGGTGACATTATCGCACAGTTAATGAAAAACGGTGCATCTCAAGTAGTCCATATTTTCAAAGAGCACAAAAGTAAAGACAGGGAAATGTAAACCACACACAACTGCCCTTTTGTTGGACTAAGAAAACCCAAATTATCAGCCACGCCCCCCCAGCACTCCCCGCCTCCCAGAGGATGAAACTTGAGGCTGCCTCCTTTTGAGGACAAAAGCCATCGTGTTTGTTATAGGAGGATCTGTCTTATCACGATGTTTTACTGTGCCACTCAGGGTTTTCATCTTTTAAATGTCATAGCTTTTCATTCCTTTCCGGTCATGAGATTCTACTTAACGTTTCTGTGGTGCTGCTTCAAAGGCTGAGGAGAATCTGTGATAACACCCTACGGATCTGAAAAAGCCTGACATTTCCTCATTCATAGAGTGTCCTGGTACCGGGGTGATCCTCTTTCATTCAATACAGACTGTTACTTAAATGGTGTTAACGATTCTACCGCTCCCACGGATGACTCATTCACTACATCCCCCAGCGTGCACTGCGGCCCTCGAGGCGAGGTCCCGGGATCCCAGACAGCAACTGCGCTCACCCAGCTCACAGTGTAACAGACACACGCGACCAACCAGTGACGACAGGAAGCGTTAGTGCCGCCTAAACAGGGCGTGCACGTGATTCCCTGCCTGCAACCCTCCGACAGCGTCTAGTGCACTCAGGAATAAAATCCAATCTCCTTGCCACAGCCTCCAGGCTGCGGCCATCAGACCCTGGGCTACTCTTCCTACCTCATCTCCTCCTCACCCTGCCCCAGCCACACTGGCCTCCGGACATTTGGGGCGCCAGGGAGAGGGTGGGGAGGATGCGTGTGGGGGCGTTTCATAACTCAGGATATCTCCCACAGACAAACCTCGCTATCCGGCTACGAGATCAGAACGACCAAGGACAGCATGGCAACGAATAAGGAATCAGACGCTTTCTACTCATTCTTATTTCCCGAAATGAGTTCTCTGAAGTATTTGCAGACCCTGATAGGTAGGGTACCTAATGTAAAGACACGCTTCACAAAGAACCACCATCCTGCCCAGCCCACTGGCTGCAGGCCCACTGCCACCGAGATGGGGCATCTCTGGGGGAGAACTGGAAAATGAAGGTGAACTAGGAAAAGGGGATGATCCCAGCAGTAGAGTCTGGGGCAAAGCAGGGCTGTCAGTTAATGCCATGCGGTTGTTGGAACAAAGCGGCCAGCAAGGGTCAGGGAACCTTTTCAAACAGAAAATCAAAGGCACACTTGGGATAAGTTACCCAAGCACTGAGCAGAGGTTGGAGGAAAGCACAAAACTCTCGATTTCTTTAAAAAGAGTCATAGTAGCAATGAAACATTATCTAGAAATACACTGCCACATGAAAGCCAAAGCATCTGTCTGTATTAAAGATTAAAATTTATTTTTACACGTAATGACTAATGACTTCCACCTCATCCTCTCTTTTCTCAGCGGGACTCTTCTCTAGACCACATATACTTATTTTTAATCTCTCTTGGGAAAGGAGAAATAGAAAATAACAGAATCATATTGCTTTAAGAGAAAGGAAGCTAAATCAAAGACTCAATATCATTCATGATAGCTACAAAGGAAGTGAAATACCTGGGAATATAATTAACCAAGGAGGTGAAAGATCTCTACAAAGAGAACCATGAAACACTGAGGAAAGAAATCACAGAGGACACAAACAAATGGAAAAATATATCATGCTCATGGATTGGCAGAATCAACATTGTTAAAATGTCCATACTACCCAAAGTGATTTATAGATTCAGTGCAATCCCCATCAAAATACCAACGTCATACTTCACAGATCTAGAAAATATAATTCTACGCTTCATTTAGAATCAGAAAAGAGCCCAAATAGCCGGAGCAATCTTAAGCAAAAAGAACAAATCTAGAGGCATCACCTTACCAGACTTCAAACTATACTGCAAGGCTAAAGTAACCAAAACAGCATGATATTGGTACAAAAATAGAGACATAGACAAATGAAACAAAAAATAGAGAACCCAGATAATAAAACCACCTACCTACAGCTAACTGATCTTTGACAAAGCAGACAACAACGTACACTGGGGAAAAGAAGCCCTATTCAATAAATGGTGCTGGGATAACTGGATAGCCATATGCAGAAGAATCAAAGAGGACCCCTGTCTCTCACCATCCTCAAAAATTAATTCGAGATGGATAAAAGACTTAAATATAAGGCATGAAACCATAAGAACTCTAGAAGAAAAGGTTGGAAAAACTCTTCTAGATATCGGCCTAGGCAAAGAATTTATGAATAAGACCCCAATGGTAATCACAGTAACAACAAAAATAAATGAATGGGATTTGATTAAACTAAAAAGCTTCTGCACAGCTAAGGAAACAATCAATAGAGCAAATACACGACCTACAGAATGGGAGAAAATATTTCCATGCTATACATCCAATAAAGGGCTAATAACCAGAATCTACAAAGAACTCAAGCAAATCAGCAAGAAAAAAACAAACAACCCCATTAAAAAGTGGGCAAAAGACATGAACAGAAGAAGCTTTTCAAAAGAAGGCAGAAAAATGACCAAGAAACATATGAAAAAATGCCCAACGTCACTAATCATCAGAGAAATGCAAATTGAAACCACAGTGAGATATCACCTTACCCCCGTTAGAATGACTTTTATTAAAAAAGCCAAAAACGATAGATGCTGGTGTGGATGCAGAGAGAAAGGAATGCTTATACACTGTTGGTGGGGCTGCAAATTAGTACAACCTCTATGGAAAACAGTATGGAGATTCCTCAAAGAATTAAAAAGTAGACGTACCATTCGATCCAGCAATCCCACTACTCGATATCTACCCAAAGGAAAAGAAGTCTTTGTATCAAAAAGACATCTGCACGCAAATGTTTACTGCAGCACAATTCACAATTGCAAAGATGTGGAATCAACCCAAGTGCCCATCAATTCATGAGTGGATTAACAAAATGTGGTTTAAGTATACCATCGAATACTACTGAGCCATGAATAAAGATGACTTAATACCTTTTGCAACAATTTGGATGGAACTGGAGACCATTCTCCTGAGTGAAATATCTCAAGAATGGAAAAACAAACACCACACGTACTCATTATTAAGTTGGAACTAACCAATGAACACACATGTACACAGAGGGAAGTAAAAACTCAGTGGAAATCAAGCAGGCAGGATGAGGAAGGAGGGGAAGGGCAAAAACCTACCTAATGGGTACAATGAACACTATTTGGGTGACGGGCACACCTACAGCCAGACTCAAGCATTACAGAAGTGATCCGGGTAACCAAAAACATTTGTACCTGCTTAATATTTTGAAATAAATAAATAAAGGACAATAAAAAAGAGAGAGAGAGAGAGAGAAAGGGAGCTTGTTTCCTGAAGAAATACAGGACTTTCCCCCCGTTCATTTACTAGCCTGTTCAAAAGCTCAAACCACATCAGAGTTCATGAGGTTACCTTAGACAATGGGTAATGGATGTATTCTGTTCCACATCAACAGAAAGGTCAAGAAAATCTTCATCTTTGCTACTAACCTGAAGCAAAAAAACGGAAAAAATATATTAGGCACAAAATACACAGTAGACATAACAGATAAAACTTTGAACGTTTATAGCTACTCATAAACTGCAGCAAAATTCACAACTGCAGTTAACAGTCCTGTGTGGCTACATATACTCACTGTTGCCCAGAGTTACCTAGAAAACAAGCCAAGCTAGAGAAAAACCCCAAATTCTCAGTTCGACCTCAACCCTATCCCAGTTTTGATTCGGAACTTCCAGTAATAAAAGCTCAACCAGATTGTTTTTTTGTGTGCCCAATCTTAGATCCTTGGAAGCAGACAAGGATTTTAAAGAAGCTTTTATAACTATCTTCAGTAAAGTAAAAGAACATATATGAATTAAAAATAGGAAACCCCAGCAGACAAACAATAAAAAAGAATCAAATAGAAATTCTACAACTGAAAAATACAATACACTAATGAACTTAATAGCAAACTGGAAACGACAGAGGAAAGAGCAAGTCAACTTGGAGACAGATCGATGGAAATTATCCAATGAGAGGAACAAAGAGAAAAGACTGAAGTAAAAATTAACAGACATGTAGGGACCTTTTAGATGATACGGTGCACATAATCAGAGTCCTACAAGGGAAGAAGAGAGAGAATAGTGCAAAAAAACTATTTGAAAAATACTGGCTGAATATTTCCTAAGTTTGGTGAAAGACATCCATTAATAGCTTCAAGATAACCCAAC